TGGTGGGCTGAGCTGGCCACACACACACACACAATAAATAAATGTAAAAATAAATAAATAAATAATTAAAAAAAATAAATAAAAGTTAGGGCTGGGGAGTAGCACAGTGGCATAAGTGCTTGCTTGGCAAGCACAAGTCCTGAGTTTGACCTCCAGGACCAAAAAAGAAAGAAAAAATTACAAAATGAGTCCACAACCCAGCTACTTGGGAAGCTAAGGCAAGAGGATCACAAGTTCAAGGCCACTCTAGGCCACTCAGCGAGACACTTTCTCAAATTAAAAATGAAAAGGGCTGGGGCTGTAGCTCAGTGGGAAGGTACTTGCCTAGAATGTGTAAATCCTTAGGTTTGATCCCCAGTACAGCAGGAAGAACAAAAAACAACATAGCTCACAGCTTGTGGAATACGGGGCTCATGCAGGTTCAGAGAACAGCTAATTATACCAGATGCAAATGCATCTTTGGTTAAACAAGTCCAGAGTGCTGGGAGAGTCAAAGAACTGCTTGGAGTGGGGCTGGGGAGATGGCTCAGTAGAATAAATGCTTCCCTGGCAAGCGCAAGGGCCTGAGTTCAATCCCCAGTTCTGAAAAAAAAAAAAAAAGAACAAGAACTGCTTGAATGAGAGAACGCTAGCATAGAGCAAAGGACAACTGAGGGTTCAGAAAGGGGTAGACTGTGCCAGGTGTTGCGAGGCCGAGCTGCCCAGTGCCTGCACCCCTCTCACAGATGGAGCCATCTTTGCTGTCTGGGAGCTGGGCACCTTCTGTGGAAGCCAAGGAATAGATGTTTGCTTCCCTGCCTCTGTGGCCCTGACTCAGCTCCACAAACCCTTCTCTGTTCTTGGACTAGGAGCTAGTAGAACAGAAGCAGCTTGGCGTGGCGAATCTCAGTTTTGCAGCTGAGGCAGATCCTGCTTTTCAAAGATGGCCCAGGGCCAGGGAGAGACAGCTCAGTGGCTTAAGTGACTGCCTGGCAAGTACAAGTTCCTGAGTTTGATCCCAGTACTAAAAAAAAAAAAAAAAAAAAAAAAACATTCCACATGCTGGTCCCTGACAACAGCCTGATGTATGTCCCAATGTCCACTCTTCCACCCAGTTGTGTGGTTTGCATGTAACCATATGGAAGGGACATCACCGCAGA